TTGTGGCCAGGAGTTTGGGATAGGAGGCTACTTACTCGGTGTACTGGGAGGCAAGATGGTGGAGGCCCAGCCCTGCTGGCCACTCCTTTGGTTGTACAGCTGCCCCCAGTGGACACTGGGCAGGATAACTGCCCCCAGTGGCTTGTCTCATATTCCAACCCCCTGAACAGCAGCCCCTTCCTTTGCATCTTATGGAAAACTGTCCTTTTCCTGGGACTTCTATGTGGGGAAGGCTCGAGTCCACCACCCTGTACTCCAGATGCTGATGCCCTATCCCACTCCAGGGCCCGCACCACCTCCCTACCCTCAGAGGGTCCCTCATCCTCCTTTCCTAGTGCAGGAGCCAGGTCCATCCCTGAGTTGGCTGCCTAGCAATTCCCAGGGTGGGTAGGACTCAAGCCCACCACCCTGTACTCCACCAGCAAATGCCCTACCCCATCCCACTCCAGAACCCACGCACCCTACATTCAGGGTGTTCCCTCTCACACTCCGAACTCTTCGGCCCAAGACCAGCGTCTAGGGTTGCCAGATGGTTTCAACAAAAATACTGGGCACACTTTTGACATTACATCACAACCTACGCTACATCTTATTTAGAAAATACTGGACATTTATCTTTTCTCAATTTGTTTCCTGAACAGAAAGCTCAAATTCTGGACTGTCCAGTTCAAAACTGGACACCTGGCAACCCTACCAGAGCCTGCACCCCAACCACCTACCCCTGCTTGGTGAAAGTGAATGAGATTGGGGAGTGAGCAGGGTGAGGCCTCCGCGAAGGGGGGAGCAGGAGCAGGGCCGGGGGCGGAGGAGGCCGGGCAAGGGTATTTGGGTTTGAGGTAGATCTTACATTGCACTTAAATTGAAAATGTGATTTTTGTGGTTAAAAAGGTCAGATACTACTGAGCCAGAGCATGAGCCCAGTGTCCATGGTAACACACCAGCCCTTGGTACTGCCAGCACCATGCAGGTCCCCTTGCGTTCCCCTTCCCCACAAGTGACTGAACATCACCTGAGCAATGGAGGGCTCCCATCCACTGGCGGAGCGAAGCAGACCCTGCTTAGCTTCACGAGAGCAGACAGCCTGAGCCGCGCCGTGTGTGAGGGGTGCTATGTGGCCACGCCCCCTACTCCAGAGCTGCTGTGCCACCGCCACTGTCCGCTGACATCCTCTCGGGCTCT